GTGGGGTGAGTCCAAGGGCCGCATTTAGCTTCGGCCCCGACCAGTCCACTTTCTTACCCCGAATTCGTACCGAAATGCTCGAGGTGGTGCCGACAGCCGCATAAAATTCAGTAACCAAAGAAACATTGGCTATCACAGGGGCAACCACCAACGTGTCCCATCCCAAAGCGACCAAATGGTGCTGTATTGCCATAAAGGCATTGACCAACCGGGGGTCAAAGGCACGCTCTAAAAGAATTTTATTATTTTTTATCCGATTGTATCTTTCCTGATATGGCACCACCTTTTCTTTATTTGGCTTTGGTACTGGCTGTTGCCTTGTCCTTGCTGTTGCCTTCCTCTTTTTCGAAGGTTTAGGCTTGGCGACCTCAAAAACTTCATCATCTGGAATGTCTTCTTCAAAATCCTCTTGCTCCTCTTCTTCTAGAAATTTCCTCCTCAAGTTCCTCCTGCTCTTCGTCTTCCTCGGCCACGTCATCATCATTGGCCAAGTCCTGTGCCATCTTATCTTCATAATCGCTATCCTCAGATACGGGCTTGGGTAATGGTTGAGGAATGGCAGACTCGGAACTGGAACTCACAATACTTCCCGAGGATGCGTCTGTGCTCACAGTCTGCCCACTGGGGGTAGTGACTGGGAGTTCCTCACTAGGAATTGTAGTCACGGTTTGAGTCATAGGGGGTTGTGGTGGTAAATCGTTGATGGGTTCGGGAATGGAAAAAAGAAATAAATCTTCAGGATTATTAGAGGTAGTGGCTTCAAAATCGAAAATGAACTCCTCCCCCAATGTATTTAGGTCGAAATCGTGGATGATGGGTGGGCCGAGTGGTGTGGAGGGAAGGGCAATAGGGGACGGTTGAGTGGGTGGTTGGTTAATCGGTGGTGGGAGGGGGTTAGATAGAGGGGTGATAGAGGGTGGATTGGTTAGGGCTAGGAAAAGGGGTCGTGTTGTTGGTATGGGCGGAGGAAGGGTCACGGCAGCCAGCGGTCGCCCAGAAGACGAACCGGCGCCGGTGATGGTGTTGGTGTGTATAATGGTGGAAGAGGTGAAAATAATGGAAAATAGGGGAGGAGTTGGAGTGATACATACCGGAGTAACGACGGCGTGATACTCGTCGTAGTCGACTCGTACGGTGGAGCTTTGACAGGCAATGGTGGTGGATGGTTCCCGTGCTGGTGGAGCGAACGCAATGGGATCCGGCGAGAGAGGTGTTAGGGGATGCATCGATGGAGCGGGAGTGGTTGAGGGCGTGTCGCCGGTCAGCGTCCGACGAGACGAGCGACGAGCAGGTGGTCGTAATGGTGGCCGGCCGGTGGGGTTGTTTCGCGTCCTGGCCATGAAAAAGGAGAAGAAGGTGAATAGTAAAATAAAAGTGAAGTCTTTTCCCCCCTTTTTCATAGGTAACCGATGGGGTTTAAACATAGGAAACCATCCATATCTGCATGCAATGTCCTTGAAAGTACAAGTGATGTGAAACAAATGATGTCATGGTACTAGTCAAATCCTTACACAAGCCACCATTTTCAGAAAAACCATCATTACCATTTTTCAAAAATAACCTCATTTCTTTCCTTATTTTCCTTTTTCTTTTCCCTGGAAAAATCCACAAAAACCCACCAATATTTTAAAAATACATAACCAAAACCCTCTACAGAATGTGAGCACGAGGAGCCCACTGTGAGCATACCTGCTGGAAATAAACAAGAAGTACGATAAAAAAA